TGGCCCTGGAGCAGTTGAGGTAAGGGCTGGAGCCTCTGGGATTGTAAGGCAGGATGGTGGTCCCCCTTTTGTGTAGCTCCCGAAAGCCTGGAGGGGGCAGGGGGTGAAGAACCGCATCTACAGGAGAGACGGCTGGGCTGTTGTGCCCAGCAGAGCTGCGGTTCTGGGCAGGGAGAAAGGCCCTGGTGCTCCTGTCTCCTGGCAGGGAAGAGAAGGGAGACCTGGGGTCTCCTTCCCTTCAGAGCGGGAGGTGGTTCACTGCTGCAGGGGAGGAGATGGGCGCTACTGGAACTGAAGACAATACTCAGCAGTATGGGCTAGGGGTGTTGGCTTTGCAGCTGTCGATTAGAAGAAACTCAGATTTTGTCTGAACCAGTCTGAAGTGCACTGTTAAAGGCCCTTTCTGCTTTCTCTTCCCCTTTTCCTCCTGTCAGCAAGCTGAAGCCCTCTCTAGGAAGCAAGGACATGTGTGAAATGTTGGCTCTGTGCTGCAAGAGCATTGTGACACACCCTTCAGCAGAGATGATGCTGAAGATCAGGAAGTCACAGCAAGCAGCTCGGTACCTTCAGGTAACCTGTTGTAACTTTCCCGGCCACCTCTCGGTCGGAACCCTACCTCAGCACACACGGCCTATGCTCTGGCAGCAGCCATGATGCCACACCTCACTCAATCCCCTCTTCTGCTTCCAGCTTCTGCAAACATCTTTGAAAGCTCTGGGCCGGCTGATGGCAGTCCTGCTTGAGACAGAGCCAACCCGTGACTTCTTCCAGAACATAATCCATGTGAGTACATGTGGAGCAAGGGAGAAAGCATGGTGCTTGTAGACAGTGGGGACAGAGATCTGAGGACTGAGAGGACGTTCAGAGCAGGAGAAATCTCTTGCTGATGTGCCAGCTCACTGCAAGCTCAGAAATGGGCAGAGAAATGGGCCGTGCAGGGGGAAAGGCAGGAGCCGGCCCCTGGCAGGCCACAGCTGAGGGAAAGCTCCTGGCTTAGGAGACAGGAGCATCTGCAGAGAGCAGGGGCAGCAGTGCTGGTGCTCAGTGAGGTGGGGGGCCATGTGGAACCACAGGGCGGGCCCTGAGGAAAAGTCCCGGTAAAGGAGGGACAGGGAGAGGAATGGCAGGAAGGGAAAGAAAAGACATCCGCAGTGAGACAGGTGCTCTGTTCCAGGTCCTGAGGAGATCACTGACATCAGGCAACGTGTGGGAGCGCAAGAGGGCCCTGCAGGTCTGCTCCCAGCTGCTGGCTGTATGTGAAGAGCTTCGAGTAAGTAAAGAGCCTCACCGCACGCTCCCTTCTCCCTCTCCACTGCCCCTGAGCTGGAAGGCGAGCTTTCCCCTGCTGTGTGTGCTGTGTCACCTGCCGTGTGACACTGGTGGGAGAAGCTAGGGAGAGGTGGGGCTGCCTACAGCTTTGTTCCTGCCTCTCATCCCTGCAGAGAGAAGATGTCTGCGAGCACTTTGGCTCCCTGGTGGGATTGCTGGCGCCACTGACATGTGACCCCAAGCCCACATCCCGCCAGTTGGCTGTCACCTGCCTGAGATCCCTTCTCCAAATCCAAGGCAAGTAGAGTGGGTGTGCACCAGCCCTGTGCTCTCCTCCACAGCGCTACCAGAACCCCACGGGCTGGCCCTTGTTTACAGGAGGGAGAGGCACCATGCGCAGCTCTCTTCTCGTCCCCACCCTGCCCTCTGTGTCTCTCCGTGGAAAGCAGTTCAGTGTCCAGAAGCATTACTTACTTCCCTTTTCTCCCTGTGCTCTTTCCAGCCAAGGTGACCAACAGAGTAATTGAGATGGGAGACACTGGGAGCCTGTGTGAGGGGCTGCATGCCTGCAGCACGGTCTGTCAGCTCCAGACCTCGTCCAAAATCGCAAGGGTAAGTGGACCCAAAAAGGGCTGGTGGGATCTCAGTGCGTAGGCTTCTGCTCCCCACAGCCTCTCACATCATTTCCAGAATGAGCAGTCAACCTGAGAGCACTTTTCTCCAGCAAGTAGCAGGAGGCTCTGAGCTATGTCTAGCCTTCAGGTGCCCAGTGCAAGGAGCTGACTCTATGATGTGCGTTTGTGTGTGTGTGTCTCTGTGTGTGTGTGTCTGTGTGTGTGTGACTCTATGTGTTTGTATGCGTATGTGTCTGTGGCTGCTGGGAGGTAGGCTTTGCATGTAAGCAAACACCATAGGTGGAGAAGCTGAGAGAAGGCTCAACCACTTTCCGTATAAATAGCAGGGTACGGACAGCAGGAGCATTGTGATTGCTGCCTGAATGACCAGCAAGCCGCTGAACTAACAATGCCCTTAAGACTGCCTTCTGTTTTGAAGAGCTGCTGCAGAGCAGTGATGGGATCTCTCCTGCTTCTCATTTCTCTGCAGATGGTGTGCAGAAACTTCCCCCTGGAACGCACCGTCGATTTCTTTATGGCCATCAAGGAGACCTTCCGGAAGGCCAAAGGAATGCATGTGCGTGCTGCTGGGAAGTGGATGATCACCTTTTTGCAGATGTACAGAAAGGACATCCGTCGAGACGTAAGAGACTTTCTTCCACGTGTCTTGGATTTTTTCTTGCTGTTGCTCTACGCCTTATGTCGTTTGCCTCTTGTGCTAAAGAAACACAGTCTGAGCGCAGAGCTTGGACAGGGTCGCTGGTGTGAAATCTAGTCTTAGGCCTTGGCAGCATGTCAAGGGAGCAGGCACTGCTCATGTGCTGAATGCCTGTGGTTACTTCCTGCAGAGTCAAGGATGTGGCAAATTGTTCTTTCTCCCCTTCTTCTTTCAGGTGCCACTGATCCTTTATGTCCTGCGGAGCTGCACATCATCCACACAGCAGAGCATGTTCATGCCCTTCGTGTGCCAGGCGGTGGTCATCCTCAATCGCTGTCACACGGAGGTTGCAATTGACAACTTCACCCGACTGCTTGGACCCACAGACAGGTATTGGCACTCCTGCCTTTGCTGTTGCTGCGGTTACAGTTGTAGCTTGCCTCTGTCAAAGTCTGTTTGAGGTGAAAATTACTCAGTCACGACTTGAGACTTTTCTTTCCCTAGCGAGACGTGGAGGAGAATCAGAGAGTTCTGTCTTCAACGGTGGAGGTTGTAGAAGAAAGTGAAGCGAAGTGAAGTGAAGCCAATAAGGAAGAGGAAGAAAAGGAAAAGGAAGAAAAAGAAAAAGGAAAAGGAAAAGGAGGAAAAGGAAAAGGAAGAAAAGGAAAAGGAAAAGGAGGAAAAGGAAAAGGAAAAAGAAAAGGAGAAAAAGGAAAAGGAAGAAAAGGAAAAGGAAAAAGAAAAGGAGAAAAAGGAAAAGGAATAAAAGGAAAGGGAAAGGAAAAGGGAAAGGAATAAAAGGAAAAGGAAGAAAAGGAAAAGGGAAAAGAAAAGGAAAAGGAAGAGGAAAGGGAAAGGAAAAGGAAAAGGGAAAAGAAAAGAAAGAGGAAGAGGAAAGGGAAAGGAAAAGGAAGAAAAGGAGAAGGAAGAAAAGGAGAAGGAAAAAGAAGAGGAAGAGGAAAGGGAAAGGAAAAGGAAAAGGGAGAAGGAAAAAGAAGAGGAAGAGGAAAGGGAAAGGAAAAGGAAAAGGGAAAAGAAAAGAAAGAGGAAGAGGAAAGGGAAAGGAAAAGGGAAAAGGAAGAGCAAAAGGAAAGGAAAAGGAAGAAACGGAAAAGGAAGAAACGGAAAAGGAAGAAACGGAAAAGGAAGAAATGGAAAGGGAAAAGGAAGAAAAGGAAAGGGAAAAGGAAGAAAAGGAAAAGGAAGAAAAGGGAAAAGGAAAAGGAAGAAAAGGAAAAGGAAGAGGAAGAAAAGGAAAAGGAAGAAAAGGAAAAGGAAAAGGAAGAAAAGGAAAAGGAAGAAAAGGAAAAGGAAAAGGAAGAAAAGGAAAAGGAAGAAAAGGAAAAGGAAAAGGAGGAAAAGGAAAAGGAGGAAAAGGAAAAGGAGGGGAGGGGAGAAGGGAAGGAAAACAAAGGAAAGAGGGGAGGAGAGAGGAGGAAAGGGGAGGAGAGGTGAGGAGAGCAGAGGGGAGGAGAGGGGAGGAAAGGGGAGGAGAGGTGAGGAGAGCGGAGGGGAGGCGAGGTGAGGAGAGATGAGGGGAGGAGAGGTGAGGAGAGGAGAGGAGAAAAAAGAAAGGAACAGATGAGCTAAAAAAAAGATTTATTTTAAAATATTAAATGCTTGAATTGTGGCTAAGAACTGAAAAGAGTATTTTTTTACTAAATCTCTAAGTTCTCCATAGCAGTTACAGAATCACAGAATCACCAAGAAATTGGAAGGAACCTTGAAAGATCCAGTCCCCCTGCCTTAGCAGGAAGGCCTAGATTAAGTCACACAGGAATGCATCCAGGCAGGTTTTGAATGTCTCCACAGAAGGAGACCCCATAACCTCTCTGGCAGCCTGTTCCCATATTCTGTTACCCTCACCATGAAGACGTTTTTTGTCATATTTTTGTGGAACCTCCTATGTTCGTTTTCATCCATTGTCCCTTGTCCTCTCACTGGATGTCACTGAGAAGAGCCTGGCACACACCCTTTTCATATTTGTTAACATTATTAATGAGGTCACCTCTTAGTCTCCTCCAAGCTAAAGAGACCCAGCTCCCTCAGCCTTTTCTCTTAAGGGAGATGCTCCTGTCTCTTCATCATCTTTGTGGCTATGTGCTGGATTCTCTCAAGCAATTCCCTGTCCTTCTTGAACAGAGGGGCCCAGAACTGGACACAATACTCCAGATGTGGTCTCACTGGGGCAGAGTAGAGGGGGAGGAGAAGCTCTTTTGACCTACTTACCACACCCCTTCTAGTATGTCCCTGGATGTCACTGGCCTTCTTGACCACAAGAGCACAGTGCTGGCTCATGGTCACCCTGCTGTCCAACAGGACCCCCAGGTCCATTTTCTCTACGCTGCTTTCCAATAGGTCAGTCCCCAAACTATACTGGTACCTGCAGTTGTTCTTACTCAGATACAAGCCTCTATGCTTGCCCTTGTTATATTTCATTAAATTTCTCCCCACCCAATTCTGCAGCCTGTCTAGGTCTCACTGGGTGGCAGCTCAGCCTTCTAGCGTGTCAGCCACTCCTCCAAGTTTTGTGTCATCAGCAAGCTTGCTAACAGTGCACTCTACTCCCTCATGCAGGCCACTGATGAATATATTGAATAGTACTGGTCCCAGTACTGACCCTTGAGGGACTCCACTAGATACAGGCCTCCAACTAGACTCTCTGTCCCACTGACCACAACTCTCTGCCGGTTCACAGTCGACCTCACTACGCAATCTTTCTGACTACACTTCTGAAGGATGAGAGAAGGGCCCCACAGTAAAAGAGGAGAAAAGGGCTTCACAGGAACTGGGGATAGAGATAGTTAGAGGTAGTTTACAGAAGCAGATATGTAGAGGTTGTTAGAAGAATGGGGAACGCAGACACTGGGACTGAGACAATGAGGGGGTAGAGAACATAAAGATAAGAGTTTGAGAGCAGCCCAAAGCCATCTGGCAGGGAGGTGATAAGATGTCCTCAGGGCAGGCTAGAACTGGATCGGAGGCTGCCCCTCCCTCAGGGACAGAAGCATACAGCGAGGTAGACAAGGAGCCTTCATGAGGAAGACTATGTTTCTTCATCCCACAACTACCAGGAGGAGACCCCCATGACTCACTACACACGCACGAGGGGGAGGGTCTGCATGCTAATTGGTTCTCGGAAATCTAATGACTATGTATCCAAATTCCTGGAAACAATTGATTATGTATTAGTTCAGCCTATATCTGTAGCACGCTTTTAGCTGATGGTGTGCAAGGTAGGCAGATCTATCCCCCTTGCACCCAGCTTATGCACACTGCTGGAATAAACACACCTGCTCTATATCCTTAATCTGGCTGTAGAGTTCGATTTCCATATGTCAGTTTGGCACCCCAGATGGGACAACCTCTATTCAGCTGTGGGACCAGCTGAGTGGGGGGATGCCTTTGGCACGCTCCAGGATTTCTCTTAAGGACACCCCTTACTCATCCAATCACTGCAGGAATAGACAAGGACGATCCATCTGCGGACAAGATATGTGTATGGAAAGGGGGAACCTGTAAGCCATGAGGAGACTTTCTACACATGGTATGAAGGGGCATGCATGCTCCCCCCATGAGGTATGTGAGGTCATGGGTTAGTTTGCCAGCTGGGGTAGGGAGAGTCCCTGGGAATTTCCTATGAAGGGGACCTGTAAGTCGTACATGAGGAAAGAGCAATAGCTTTCCCTTAGGTGGTTGATAACAGCGGGTATTTTGTAAAATGATAACATGGGAGTTATAGGTGGTATTATTGTTATCACCATCTGTTGTAAGTGTTCAGTATCATGAATTTGAGTAATTGCTATCAAAACACTCAAAAGGAGTCCAGAGGTCTGATTTGGTAAAATGTAAAGCCGGTGTTGTGTGATTGCGAGCAAATGTGTTGAATACTTGAGATATGGCATAGCTGCAGCATGAGTGCGGTGTATAACGACAATTCGTTGTCTGATTGTCTGTCTTTACATTTTTGTATGAATTTATGAATGGGGACGACAAACCCATAGAGAGATGCGGGCATACAAGTAGCATTTGCCTGTATTCCTAAGGTGGCGGGGAAGGACACTGAGAAGAGCAGGAAAGCCAACCTAATAAACACATGGCTGAGAGGCTAGTGCAAACTCAAAAATTTTGGGTTCTTTGATCATGGGGTGGTCTACTTGGCACCTGGTATGAGGGCTGCCGATGGGTATCACCTATCCCAAAGGGGGAAACAGATCCTTGCCCAGGAGTTGGCAGGACTTATGGAGAGGGCTTTAAACTAGATATGAAGGGGGAAAGGGATAAAACCAGGCCTGCTAGAGATGAGCCTGGGGGAGCAGTAATGGGATTAGGGGTGAGGCAAGGGGCTCAGCTGAAGTGCACCTACACCAGAGCACTCAGCGTGGGCAACAAACAAGAAGAGCTGGAAGCCATTGTGCGGCAGGCTAACTATGACCTAGTTGCCATTACAGAAACATGGTGGGACTGCTCCCATGACTGGAGTGCTGCAATGGCTGGCTACAGACTATTCAGGAAGGATAGGCAAGGAGGGAGGGGTGGCAGTGTGGCTCTCTATATTAGTGAGTGTTTTAATGTTCAACTTGAGGCTGGGGATGATAAGGTTGAATCCCTATGGGTAAAGATCAGGAGAAAGGCTGACAAGACAGACTTCCTGGTGAGCGTCTGTTACAGACCGCCAAACAAGGATGAAGAGAAGATGAAGAGTTATGCAAGCAGCTGGCGGAAGCTGCACGATCGCCAGCCCTTGTCCTCATGGGGGACTTCAACTTCCCTGACGTACGTTGGGAATACACACAGCACAGAAGAAGCAGTCTAGGAGGTTTCTGGAGTGTACGGAGAATAACATTCTGATGCAGCTGGTGAGAGAGGAACTGCCCCGCTTGACCTGCTGTTGGCTAACAGAGAAGGTCTGGTGGGAGATGTGGAGGTTGGGGGCTGTCTTGGACAGAGTGGCCATGAAATGGTAGAGTTCTCGATTCTTGATGGAGCCAGGAAGCGGAACAGCAAAACAACTACCTTAGACTTCTGGAGGGCGGACTTTGAATTATTCAGAAGGCTAGCAGGGGGAATCCCCTGGGTTTCAGTCTTAGAGAGTAAAGGGGTCCAAGATGGCTGGTCGCTCTTCAAGAAGGAAGTCTTAAAGGCGCAGGAGCTGGCTGTCCCTCTAAGCCGCAAAATGAGCCGGCAGGGAAGAAGACCAATATGGATGAATAAGGAGCTATTCTTGAGGCTCTGGGAGAAAAAGAGAATCTAACTCCTGTGGAAGAAGGGACGGGCGACTCAGAAAGAGTACAGAGAAGTTGTTAAGATGCGTAGAGAGAAAATCAGAAAGGCAAAAGCCCAGCTTGAACTCAACCTGGCCACTGGGATAAAAAGGAACAAGAAACTGTTTTATAAATTCATCAGCGGTAAGAGGAGGACTCAGGAGAATCTTTGTTCTTTACTGGATGAGGCTGGGAATATGACCACTGAGGATAAGGAAAAGGCAGAGGTTCTGAATGCCTTCTTTACGTCTGTCTTTAAAGGTCACACCAGTTATCCTCAGGGTACTCTGCTCTCTGACCTGGTAGTCTCAACTGGGGTGCGGACAGAACCCCCCGTGATTTGGGAGGACGCAGTCAG